GAAAAGAAAAATAAATAAATCGAAAAGGTCCAGTCGAAACACCTCCCATTCTACACCTTCATATATTTCAGACTCGATGCAAACATCCTCAATGCCAATATGAAGGTGTCCTTTGAAACTGTCTAATGTATGCTTAGTCGCAACCACTAGCTGGGCAAGTCTTTGTGATTCTTGGTGTAGGATAAAATCCCCATACACGAGCCAGTCTGGAAATTGAGGGTTAAAAGCCACACCAAAGTCAGCACTTGGAAGTCGAAGGAATTTAGAAGGATACATATTAAAAGCTATTTTGTACCGTTTCTCATGTGGAATGAACGAATGGAGCTTTAAGTTCTCCATTTTCATTAAAGATTTCTCTTTTAAAATAACGTCTGCTTCATAGATGGTTCAACTAAGATCATTAGACCTATAGGCAGTTTCAAAGTATTTTTTGAATGCTTGGATTTCCTTAATATGAGTCGAAGTACCTTTCTTGATCTTCTCCTGCACAGAGAGGAAAGCCTTGTTAAGATGTTGTGTAAAGGCATCCACATCGAATAATTTCTCACCATAATATTCTTTCCACCACTTGTCGAATTCCAGGGTGCAGAGGAAATTTGGCTTGAAAGCAACAGGAGTAAGTTGTGTTTGGCCAACGTAGCGATCTATTTGCTTAATGGTTATAACTTCAGTATGAATTGCATTGTAAAGAAGAAGGGCATTCTTTTTCTTATATACAGGTCGTGGTAGAATTTGGATCAATCCAAACTATCGAGCGACAGTATTTGGTTGATAAGCGATGAGGGTAACCTAAGTTTTCGGTTGATTAAGCCTAAGGGTTAACACCCTAGGAGTTAAGAAAGCTTCCCATATGGCAAGGGATTTTGCTTATTTGGTTTTTGTTGGAGCTGGGAATGGCTTGGTAAACCATTCAGGACCGTGTCTTCGAGCGGCAAAAGGAGCCATGTTTGACGTAAAATCATAACATTTGGCGAACATCATCACATAATTGGTGAAGGTCTGTTGTAGGTGACACCCTTCGTCTCTAGGAGTCAACATGGCTAAACGCGTCCCTTCGAATCTCCTAGTTTTCACTTCATCAACATCCTCGTTGATGGGATTCTTGATGGGGAGACATGCTTCGAAAGAGGTATTCAACCATAGTTGCAACAACCAGAATGGGCCAGAGAGAAGGCAACTCCCTTTGTCTACAAGACACTTGAGTTGGGTAACACATTCACCTAAAGACTCATAAAAACTCGCCAGAATCATCTCACTTAAGCACAAGTCATGACCAGAATGGAGTTGGTTGGCCATCATCAGATATTTCTTGGCCAATTGAAGTGACTTCGAACAGAAGACATAACGGGATAACCACAAAGCAAAGAAAGTTATAAGTTCTACTTTTGAAACTTCATCAGTTGTTTTATCATGGTAGTGTATAATATGAGTAAAGTAGGAAACTCCAGATGTCGAAAAACCTATGGTGTCATCAGCTTGGTAGTCTGGGCCATAAGTGTTACTAGTTGGTTTAAGCCCTGTGATGGCGGCTATGTCGAAGAGGGTTGGTGACATCATTCCTTAAGGAAGATGGAATGTATGGTGGGTACTGTCCCAAAAGTATAAGGAAGAGACTAGCATGGTCGAACAATGTTCAAGTACTACTTTCGACAGCTAGATTAAGTCAAAAATACCCATATCTTTCCAGATCTGAGATTTAGTTTTCTCTAACTTCTCTAGCCAGCCTAAGTAGTCAGAGGGATCTTTGAATGAAGGACTGGATCGAAATACCCTAAAGCCATTGTTCATGTATCTTAAGTCAATGGTTTCATCTCTCGAAGGGTTGTCTTGGTTGGCAGGTTTTGGATCTTCGTTTCTAGCCCTAGGTTTCTTAGCATGAGTTATGGGTTTGTACTTGTGGTAAGTAGGGAAGAATTTCTTAAGTTTAATAAGGTCAACATTGGAATCAGATAGAGGTCCTAATAAAGCATAAGAATTACCAGTAACAAAAATAGGGATCAATACCTAAGATTTGTAGATTCTGTGTTGTTCTTCAGAAAGCGGTTCTGGATCATATTGCTGATTTTCCACCATGATTGGGCCTGGGATCGTGTTGAAATGAGGGAGGTTTGAAAGCTTCTTGGTATCCTTCACGTGCTTGGTAGATTCTTTGGTAGCTTTGGTTGATGATGCCATTGTTGCTGAAATATTGAGATTTGAAAAAATGGGTTTCTTGAGAGGAGGATATGAAAAAGTTGGAGAGTATTTGAAAAATGTAGAGAGGTAAAATGTAAAAAAAGAACGAGGAATGAACTATTTATAGAGGTTGAAATCAAAACGGTTCTTAAATCAGCATTTATGGTTAAGAAGTGAGTGGGACACATGTCTTTCCAAGAGCTCACGATAGGACAATGACAGTTACAACCTACCCCACTATCTTATAGCTTCTAAGAAGCATGATGATTATAAAAGATTCTCGCGTGGGATTGATGAGATGTTTCAAAAAAGGTGTCATGATGACTCTGACGTCATAATAGTACTGAGGTATATGAACAGTTTGTATCGTCGAATTGCTTGTGGCGTCAAATCATCTTATAAAAAAATGTCTTTTTCTTCACATGGTGTCGAAAATGACATTTTTTGGGGGCAATTTATTAGCTCGTAATTTTGAAACCTAGTTTAAGTTAGTGGGATAAACAAGGGAAAGAGAATTTCTGGAAAGTTATGGGAGATTTCGACAAGACAATTTAGTTATGGAAGTCTAGTCAAAGTGACCCCTGTGCCAAAAGGAAAGGATTGTTTGGACTCAGAGAAATTTTTTAAGTTTGAAGGTGTAGTTCAACGAAGAGGCTTTTGATGATGTCTTCGATTTAAAGTTCGAATTTGAATAAAGGAGGGAATCTTGTTCTTATCCAGTTCCAAGAGAAGACACGTGGAACACATTAAGGAAGTGAAGACATGTCGAGCGCCATTATCTTGTTTTAGGAGAAAGGCCGTTAGAGGCATTTATTTTGATTCAATATATATAAGGGGTCTTAGTGATAAGTTTCGTGTGTGATCAAGTTTTGTACAAGTTACTCAAATTACTCAAAGTACCCAGTGTGTAGAGAAAAGAGTTATTGAAAAATGTACGTTTGATGAAACACCACTTTCTTACAATTTAATCAAATTCAGTTTATACTTTTGTCCAGAAATTTATCTTCTTTATTGCACAAGTTTCTTTCAATGCGTTTTATAGCATTTTGTATCACTTTCTAGCAACGTATTCTCTTTTATCAAATTAAACTATTTTTCCAATCATGAATACCGTAGAAGTGTTCATTGTTTCTCAAACTTTAGTTTAAAAAAAACATTAGCACATATCCTTAGATTTATTAGTTGATCATGTAAGTTAATCAATATTTAGAGATCCATAGTTGTTTACCAATTTTTACGATAAAGAAGTATCATCTACATATTGTAGGTGGGAGAATTTAACATCACATTTTTCAAAACAATAACTTAAATATTTTCCCATAGCGTTCTTCGTCAACACGTTAAAACCTTCTTCTATGATTAAGAATAGAAAAGGAGAAAAATGATCTTCTAGTCTTAATCGTCGCTCCAATTTAAACTCCTTAGAGCACCCACATCCATCACATCCATACTACTCATGTTGGTGGTATAAGTGAGTCCCATCTAATATAATATATTACTTCACACTCCTCAATTATTTAAACCACTTAACTATATTTTCTAAATATCCATACTACTTACTTAAAACTCTAACATGGGTTCCACAAAATTACATTATGTTTCAAATTTATATTTTATAAACCAATATATTCCATAAAAGCAACAGTGTCATTTTAAGATACAGTGCCAATTTAAACCACAATAAATAATTTTTATTATCCATGTTACTCTGACACCAAATAATACAGATAGACTTTTACCACTCCGATAATTATACTCTTAGTTAGACTTTCGTTTATAAGTATCGACGATCTTAGACATTCTAAAATTCAATTGTGCAATTTCTCTTGAAATTCCATTTCTTCCATCACATAAATTTAAAAGTTCAATCTACTTAATCATATGCATTTTCAAAATCCACCTTAAATAAAATTACTTTCATTTTTTTCTCCTAGCCTCATCAACAATTTCATTAGCAATTAAAATACTATCTAAAATCTACCTGTCCAATATAAATCCTAAGTGAGACTTGTTTAGTTAAAATTAGTTTTACAAGTTCAGTTAATTCATGTAATTAGTTATATCGTCATATAATCAAACACACATTTCTATTTCACGAAAAAAAAATTACCTTCTTTCGATAAAAAAAATACATACCTTCTAATTTATCCTTTTAGTTAAAGAAAATTAAGTGAGATTCCAAAAAAGAACAACCTCAGGACATAAAACGTCAAACCCGGGCCCACCCACAGTCGTCACAGAGACTGTCGGCGAGTGCAAATAGTACAAAACAAGCAGTCAATGTCAAAACCGTAAATAACTTCAAAAACCAGTGGCGAAAAACTATATAATCAAGTGCAAAATACACTCTTTTATAATCATCAAGCCAGCGTGTCGCATTGCAATCTATTAATCTCCCGCGGCATTAAACGCGGCTTCCCTTTCCTTCAACACTTTCGTCACACCACATTTTCATTTTCATTTATTTTTTATCAAAAAAAATAAATATTATTAGGATAAGTTTCTCTCAAGTAATTTAGAAGCTAAAATTCATTTTTAAAAATTAAGTTGAGTTTGTTATAAGTTTGTATTCTCTTATTCTCTTTCATTTCTTAAGAATATTATTTTCACAGTGAAAAGTAAAAAAAGAAAACGTCAACACTTTTTATTATTCAGCTACAAATTCATTTTCGTTCACTCTCTTTCACACTTAAACAAATACTTCTCTCTTTCTTACTTCTTTCTCTTCACCGAACAATCCTTGAAGCAATGAACCTTCAGATCTCGTTTTGATTCGATTTCTTCCCGAAGAATTTACAGTGAGAGTGGTTCATGGAATCAAGGATATGAAGTTTTATATATCTGCAAAGGGAATTAAGCGATTCACGATATCGAACGGCGGAGGTAAGGGATCGGCTAAGGATACAACGGCGACGACGGTGGCAGGTGGTCCGACTGTAACTGCCTCTTCCAGTCGCCGAATTTCACTCCGGGCGGTGCTTCCGGTAGTGTTAGTGCTCGGAATCGTTCTACCGTTTATTTTTGTTAGAGTCGCGATCTTGGTGCTGGAATCTGCTACTTTCTGTTCATCATTGGGTAATTCTCACTACAGTTCTTTTTTACAGTTCGGTAATTGAATATTTTGAAATAAATTTTATTGGGAAATACTGTATTTTAGACGTTAAAGAATCCAATTGAAAAATATTGTCTTAAAATTTTGTGTATAAATTTTAATTAAAATATAAAATTATTTTTTAAATTATTTTTTTCAATTCAAATTTATTATAAATAAATTTTTTAAGTTGTGTTTCTAAGACACAAATTAGCATTACTTTATTTTATTTTATTTATGTTTCATAATGTCGTTAATTTAACTAATTTTAATATCTCTCCAACTGTGTTTACTTCCTATAAATTTCTGAATTTAGATTAAATATGTTTTGATTTTTAATTTCTTTTTTATATTAAATAACATAGCTAGAATTTATCATGTCATTAGTTTCGCGTCTATGAATTTTACGTCTCTATAATAATAGAATTTTTAATTTAATTAAATAAGTTATATTGATTTTTGGAATTTAAATATATTTTTTTGTTAAAAACTAAAGAAAATAAAGTTTTTATGGAATAAATGAAATAGGAGTAGGTTCTTTAATAAAAAGTTGATATTAGTTTGTTACAATGGTGAAAATGATTGTTGCAGAGTGTGCTGGGTGGAGGTTTTTTGGAGGAGCTGACACGTCATTGGTTAGTGTGTTAATTACAGAGTTAACCTTGTTATTTTATTTTCAAACAACTATCCATTTTTTATTTATTTTTAGTTAAACGTACTTTATTGTCTATTTTTTAATCAAAATTTGGCGGATTCACGATAATGGATTAACTTGACTTAGCTTAAGAAATAGAGTAATGATTATAGTAACATATTACTATTAAAATGCTGATTCTTAATTAATTAATTTTAAGCAATATTCTCTGTCTAATAAAAAGCTAGGCTCCTTTTTCAAATAAAGTTAGTTTCAATAGAGTCTAGTTTGAAAAATGTTAGTACCTGATTTGTTAAAAAAATGCAACTAGTGAAAACCGACGAGAAATAATACTATATTGGATTTTTTTAATTTAATAATTGTAAGTCATAAAGTCTAATTCTTTTTAGGCTGTTGATTTAATATAAGTTATACTTTATCAAACCGACAATTATTAGTACTAATTTGTCAAGGTTTTGGGTTTGGAAACCAGTCAATATATTGGCTTTTATAATTTGTCAAGGTTTTGAGTTTGGCTTTAAAAAATTTATATTAACTCTTTAATTTTTTAAAACTTATTATTTTATGTTAGACTTTTTGTCTAACTAATTATCTATGAAAGATTTAAAGATTAATCGTTAAATTTGTTATCGACTAAACAAAATTAATATGATTCATTTAAAAAAATTAAAAAATCAATATAAATTCTTTTAACTTAAAAAAGAAAAATAATTATGAGATTAAGATATATGACTAAAAAGAATATTAAATTATATATTTTATTATAATTATTAAGTTTAGTACTTGTAATATAATTATTAAATTTATTATTTGATATTAGAGCATTTCCAATAGTGCAACTCATTTTTAGATTCTTTGTGGGACCTATTCTTTTAAAGCAACTCATTCAATTTTCACTTCAATGGTGCAACTCTAAAGAATCCATATTGGGTCCCACCACTTTACTTAAAAAATATTATTTATATTAAATTTATTTTATTTAAAATTATAATTTAAATATTTAAATTTTAATTAAAATGATAATTAAAATAATAAATAAAATTTTATATCAAATTATAGTTTTTATATTATAAAATTAATATTTTAATATAAGAACCATTGAAGAACTATGCAAGAACTTTTTCGTCTTGAAAACAACAAATATGAGTGTCATGTTGGCAAACCCACTCTAAGAATTTCATTGGAGTTGGTCTTAGATGGTCCTTAAACGTCCTTATATTAATCCTAAAAATGAAAATAGGTAGAGTTTTGCTATGATACTATAATACACATTTTCATGTGATTTAAAAAAATTACAGTGTCTAAGTCCATACTGGTTTGAGTGCTAAAGTTAGCACATGTGTATTTTATAAGTATTCATATCCACATGTGTATTTTATAAGTAAAATATTCATATCTTTATTTATTATTCGCATTTTTATTAAAAATAAATAGATTAATTATAAAATATTTTATTATTTTATATTTTTAAAAATATTTATTGTTAAAATAAACTACTATTTTTATATTAAATATTTAATACTTTAACATTGATATATTTTTTAAAATTGATAGAAATATACTTTTATATAATAATATAAATTAAATATATAAAAATTAAAATATATATATATATATATATATATATATATATATATATATATATATATATATATATATAGATATATATATATATATATATATATATATATATATATATATATATATACTTAAACCATTTATTTTTGTGGATAATTATCGGAGTCCGTATTCATATCTCTTTTTGTGAATTTTTATCCTTTTTATTATGGAATTTTGCATTGTTCATTAAAGATGTATCAATTTGTTATCCCTAAGTTTATCGAATGAAGTTGAATCAAAATTTATTGAATATTCAATTAATTTAAACTAAAAATTATTGATGAAATTTAATGAAATCCAATATATAAATTCCTTAATCCTTTTAAATATGCTTAAATCTTATCTCGTGTAACTATACCAAGTCTAATTAAACTAAGTCTATACAGTAATATTCTCTTCTCTACCAAATTGTTTTATTGTTTTTTATGGTTAAACACTTAAACACTATTTTTTAATTATGTATGAAGTGTCTAATAAAACTTCCCTACATAGTAATATAAATAATTAAGGTTAGTTAATCCATACTAATTGCAAATGGGTTTAACTTTTATGTAATTTAGTGTAAAATGTTGAGAAAATAGAAGATTCATTTTACACCTATATCTAATAAAAAATGTGTATTCCAATACATTTTAAAATTAGTTGAATGACATGATATGATGCTCATGTTTTATTGGACGAAAAGATAAAACTATTTTACACACTCAATATATCTACTAAACTCTAAAATGTTTTACATTGCAATCAATTATTTATAATTTTTTAAAAGTAATTATAATTAAAATAACATATTTTTATAACTAGAATATTATAGTTTTATTTATAATTTATTGACAATATATAAAATGTTTATAGAAGAAGTCAATTGTAGTGGAATCATGCCTAAAATAAATTAGTTGAGTCTAATTTATAGGGTCAGTTAATCATAATCTCAAATTTTTATAATTGATTGATTTTTATTTTAATTACATCTAAAATAGCACCTATAAATAATTGTGATGCCGAGATCATAAATGATTGTGATGCACGAAACTATGTAAAATCTTTTACACTGACATTACATATTAATTAAATAAATATTGTTTGAATAAAAATATTTAATGTTATTTAACAAAATTATATCCTATTTATAATATTATTTCTCTAATTTAATTATCTGTATCAAATTTAATTTAACAAAAAATCAGAACTAAATCAAAATATAAGTAGAAAAGTATGTGTTGGTATCGTATCATATGGAGTAATACTAATGTGGATTCCAGCCTTTCTTTTGAAATAACCCGTTCATGTGGTTATTGTCGTTTATCAGACCCTACTGAATCGGTTATTAATGCCTCAAAGTTAAAAAGAGTAAAAGACATAGGAAAAGTTATAAAATGTGTATTCAGAAGAACCTGACCCCATTATCCTAAACTTACCACGTGTTTAATTTTTTTTGGTACATCTCAGATTTGTTATTCACGTGACATATCCTTCTCTCTTAGACAATTCTTGTGTGGTTATCTATTTCAGCTAAAAGGACATAAAAACTGTTGACTTGCTTACACAATCCTTTTAAGGGTGGTTATCTGTTTAGACAGATATCACAGAAGGATTGTGTAATATTTACAATTAAAGTACTAAGTAGATCTAAATTGACAAATATTACATTATAATTTAACTTTTTGTTTGTTCAAATAATGTATTAGTTATATAGGCCTGTGAACTTGATGGTGCATTGTTGTTACTTGCACAAGTTGCATTAGTGCAATATGTGGGGCATGGCCATGCATCATGCCATTTGTACTTCAACTTGTTTTATCCTCTACCTCTACTTTTTCTGTATGTGCTATTTTCAAAACTTTATTTCTCTGCTTGAAAAGGTCTTCATGACATTTCTTTGTTTTAATGGGACCATTTGTATCCATTCTATTCTATGATGTGTATGTTTGAATATGGACAGTAGAATTGACTTTGACATATTTGGTTGTTCTTGAATAGAATTGATTATGTTTTCTAGAATTGATTCTTCTTGAAGTTAGGATTTGTAGCTTTTGGATCTAAACTTGATTTTTAGAATTACGTTTTCTATTCAACTCATTTTTGCAAAATTCATTCAAACATAAATCACTTTACGTTCAACTTACTTTTACCCGAAACAAATTTATAGAATCAATTAACTCAAAATCAATTTTCTTTGCAGCAGAACCAAATTTGATAGTTTCCACTGTGAAATCAAATACAAATTAATCATATTAGGAGGATATGATGAATCATTCAACTTGTATATTTTAAATAAAAAAAGATAACTTATGTTCTGTTCTTTTCTTTTTATACTGTTGATGCATGAAGAAACTCAGAGATGAGCTGACTCGAGCGCTGATGGAAGCAAATGATGGAAGTGTTAATGATAATGAAGGAGTAGGGTCATTCAACGAACTTGTTAAAGAGATGGTCTTAAAACAAGACCTCAAAGCTTTTGCTTTCAAGACCAAAGCAATGGTATATACAAAATTTAATTTGTTAGCTTCTCTATATAATCTATACTTATAAAGGGAAAACATGATTTTGGTGTAGCTTTTTTTTCTTTCAAATATATCCTTTTTAGTTTTTATTTTAAATCTTAACTCTCTTTTAAACAAACGGTAGTTATGCGATGGTTTATTATCTTTTATACCATTATCTACTACTATTATTTTAAAAATAATAAATAATAAAATGAAAATTAATTAAAAATAATAATATAATTTATATTTTACACGTGTGAATATTATAAAAAGCGGACAGACGGACACTCACGGGCACGGACGCTAGTGATAATAATGTAAATATTCATTTCTTTTGTAAATGTTCAGTTATTACAGATGGAGCACAAGGTGCAAAGAGCAAAACAGCAGGAGTCAGTTTATTGGCATCTAGCTTCACATGGTGTTCCACAAAGTCTACATTGTCTTTGTCTTAAGTTGGCGGAAGAATATGCCGTAAATGCCATCGCTCGATCTAGTCTACCTCCTCCTGAATTCGCTTCTCGCCTTGCTGACCCTACTCTGCATCACCTAGTTCTCCTAACTAATAATGTCCTAGCTGCCTCTGTTGTTGTAACTTCTACAGTTGAAAATTCAGCCAACCCTGAAAAATTAGTTTTTCATGTTGTTACCGACAAAAAAACTTACGCTTCAATGCATGCATGGTTTGCTACCAATACTATTCAGTCAGCTATTGTGGAAGTTAGGGGATTACACCAATATGATTGGTCTGAAGAAATGAATGCTGGTGTTAAAGAGATGCTGGAAACTAATCACTTAATTTGGAAGCACTACTACGATAAAGAAAAGAACATCAATTATAGTAATTTGAACGCGTTACGGCCCAGCAGCCTTTCCTTGATGAATCAACTCCGCATTTATATACCTGAGGTACTTAGTTATTTTTGACAGATTTCTGATTGAGCAATAACACCTAATAAAAAGTTTGAATCCTTGGTAATGATTGTTTCATGATGATATGATTTTTTGTGTACCATAACAGCTTTTTCCGGATCTTAAAAAGATAGTATTCTTGGATGATGATGTTGTGGCACAACGTGACATATCTTCTTTATGGGACTTGGATCTTAACGGTAAAGTCAGTGGTTCTGTATTCAAGTCATGGTGTGAAGACGACTGCTGCCCTGGAAGTAAATACATGAACTACTTGAACTTTTCACATCCTCTCATATCATCTAATTTTGATGATGAACAGTGTGGATGGCTTTATGGCATGAATGTATTTGATCTTGATGCTTGGCGAAGAACAAACATAACCGAGACCTACCGGAAATGGTTGAAACTTGTAAGTATATGTACTGTTGTATTCACTATTAATTGCCATCTTATATTAACAATGTGTATTTATCTGATTTCATAGAACCTCGAATCAGGGACAGCATTGTGGAATCCAGGAGTGCTTCCACCTGCATTGATTGCGTTTGACGGTCAAGTGCATCCTATAGATCCATCACTGATTGTGACTGATTTAGGTTATCGTTATCGATCAGAAGAAATTAGCAAAGAGAGTCTAGAAGCTGCTTCTGTTATCCATTTCAGTGGACCTGCAAAGCCATGGCTTGAAATTGGTTTCCCAGAATATAGAAGATTATGGAGTAGATATGTAAATTCCTCTAATAAGTTTGTAAGGAGATGTAGGATTATAAGGTGAAGGAACAAAGTTCTCCCACCGCACTGCAAATATTTATTAAGATTGCATGATTGACACTGTGTTGGATTAGAGGGAAGAAGCGCCTGCCTTCAGTCTCCGATTCATACGTTCTGTATGATATTGATTACGCCATGTTGTTCATAATCATCATATACATATATGACGCTACCAAGAAATATGCTACTGGAAGCAGTATCTGCAGTTAAGAAAGATATAAAGCATCATTGATCTAGCCGTTGTCTGACAATACTGTAAATTTGTTCTTGAAATGGAGAAATTGTTTCGTATGTTTTGAAGTTTCATTGAGACGGTTCTGAAGTCTTGTTGCATAAAACTCTAGATAATCACTTACAGACAGATTTAGATTTCATCCTTTTGGTCTTGTAAGTACTATCGTTGGATTGGAGCCATGAAATTTAGTTTGTATATCATTGTTGCTTTACTTACATTTGTTATTTTGCTATCTTGTTGTGTATTTGCTAAGAACACAAGAAATAGTGAAAAAGTAACATGTATACAGATGTAACTGATATAAAATCAAAAGTGATATTAATTGTATTTATTTTGGAAAGCTATCTCATGTTTGTTCTCCCTTAGTTTTGGATCTTTGGATCAATATAGAATAAAATCCATCTCAGATATTTATTTTCTGCAGTAACATTCTACAATATTGATGCAGTTCATGGCATATCTATATATCTGTAAGAATTATATACATTGTATTTTACCTACATATACCTTTACTCCTTGAACACCTATTCAGTTTTAGCATATTTTGCTCTTTTCATACTTTCTTATCAAATTTATTCTTATTATGCTCTTTAACTAAAGCTTGTCATTCAAAATAAGTCTCTTAACATAATAGAATTTTCATGTTTGAATGTCTTGGGGAAGATGTGAGAAATTTGATGTTGAGATTTTACATATTATTCTGCTTGTACGCCCTCTCTTGCTAAAACATTCTTATAGTGATGATAGTATCAATATGCTTCCCATGATCACGGGATACTAGATTCTTTGCGAAAGCAATGACCATCCTAACCAACTTTTAAAACAATAAATAATTACAAAGAAGAAACCAGTGATGATGTGCATTCGAAGAATAAAAAAAATGGAATTCATTGTAATGGCTTCTTGTGAAAGGCTACGAGGATCCAACGTTATTGGGCACTTTCAAGCTTGCTATTGAATGTGTGTTTATGTTAGTAATTGTGTCAAATAAGATCACTCATGTACATTTATATGTATATGAGTTGTTTATAATTGGTAATGTATCGATTACAATTGATATACTATTAAAGCTATTGATTTCTAATTGATCCTAATCAATCTAAATGATCTTAACGGATTTTTAACATTCTCTTAAGTCGAATTATATATGTCATATTAGTTGAACTTGTTATAAATATAATCCACTCAAGAATCTTTGAGAGACTTAGTGAACATATAAACCCATTAGTTTTTAGACTTGACGAAATTTGTAATTATTTCTCCTGAAAATACATTGTCTCTTACATAACGACAGTCTATTTCTATGTGCTTTTTTCGTTCATAAAAGACTAGGTTAGATGCAATGTGTGTTGAGTATAGCGAGTGTGAGTAGTATGGGTAATAGTCCCACATTGGCTAGAAATATGGAGACTTGAGCATTTATAAGTGGAAGAACCCATACACCTATCACCTTAAGATTTTGGGTGAATATGTGGTATGTCTCTCATAAAGGTGTTGCTCAAAAAAGAAGTCTCACAATATTCACTGCTCCCTAGCGAAACTCTTAACCTACCCTCTTAGGCTAAATATTTTAGCCATGCAAGCTCCTTTGAGGTTGCTGCCATAACACGATATTCAACTTCAACAATATATATTGCAATTGTATTTTCTTTAACCTACCCTCTTAGGGTAAATATTTTAGCCATGCAAGCTCCTTTGAGGTTGCTGCCACAACACGATATTCAACTTCAACAATATATATTGCAATTGTATTTTCTTTCTTGCTTCTCCATGAGATAATATTATCTCCAACAAGAACAAAATATCCAGAAGTGGATCTCATATCTAACGGTGATCTAGCTCAGTTGACATTTGAATAACAAGTGATTTTAGCATCACTCTTTTCTTTATATAATATTCCTCTTCCTGATACATTCTTTATATATCTAAGAATTCGAATAACTTCATTCTAATGATTATCACAGAGCGTTCAAAAATTGATCACATTTATAAGGGAAATCGTTATATAAGCACAACGGGAAAAATTCCATTTAGTTGATTCTTACGAATGATGCATGATCAATGATAAAACTATTTGTTAGAACAAGATTTGTTCATGACATATATCCTTAGTTTTGAAGATAACAAAAATATTAAAAGAAGAATGGTGTTTTCTAATGTGTGTTTAAGTATGCAAATTCTTATACTTAAAAGATATATTCAGAATCAGATGTGAAGCCACACTTGAGTGAAGCTGAGTTACATGTTTCTAATGATACAAAATATGAAGAACACTTTCTAAGTGATGTATGACATAAACTCTGAAGCTGAAGGCCTTAGCATTAGAAGAAGCAACACATTGTTTCTGCACTTGGTAATTGTATTGGCTTCTGGTGATTGTTCGGAAGTTGTAGAAAAGCTAAAGCTACCTGTACTGCAGAAAGCAAACTGTAATGTCAAATCAGCTTGTCAGCTAGAGTCTATGATCACAAGGCTCAAGAAGAGTTGACATGCTTTACGGATAACCACTCTCAACGGATCTATAGTACAAGATACTTCTGAAGACGTTATGGTTAAACAAATAACACAATGGATTAAGATCTTTCGCGTATCTATCCTCAACGTCTCTTGTACTATGAAGAGAATAAAGACATTTGATCAAGTTATCTCTTCCAAGAGCTAGTTTTCTGAAACCTGCTATATAAGTAGCTGAAGGTTCTACTTGAATCTTTAACAAGGAATAAGAAGAAGAAGGAATTACAAAGAGGATAAAGGTGTTCAACGTCACTATCTGAATGAAGAAATAACAAGATCAACAATGAACAACACTACTGAATATGCATAATCTTCTATTAGTTGTTGTAAATTGTAAATAGCCTTAAGGTTTCCTAAACATTGAATATTATGAAAATCTCGAGTGCTTAAGGTCTTTGTTAAGGTTATTACCTTGTACCTCTGATTCAGGATTAAGTACACCTTATTCTCTTTTCTGTTGAACATGCCGTTCAGAAGTTAAGATCAAAAGTCTCATGTTATGTGTTTGAGCATCAAAGTCTCCAGTTGAAAAGCTTGAGCCAAGTAAGTCTCTTGTTGTGTACTTGAGCATTGAAAGTTTTGATTTGTTTTGATTAAGCAGCAAAGTCTTGGATTGTGAATCTGAGCAAAAGAAGTGTTAGACATAAGGTTTAAGCAGAGAAGTCTTAGATGGTGCGTCTAAGTAAGAAAGTCTTGGGTCGAGGATCTGAGCAAGGGAAGGTATAGGCAGAGTGTCTGAGCATGAAAGCTTTGAACCAGGAGGGTTTAACTAAGGAAAGTCTTATGATCTGAGGATCTAAGTAGGAAGTCTTGATCAGGTGCTGATTAAGTAGGGAAGTCTTAGACTGTAGGTCTGAGCAGTGAAAATCTTATGCTTGAGTGTATAAGCAGTTGTAATCATGAGTTGGTTATAGTGGAAAATCTCTTGTGAGGCAAGGGGACTGAAGTACTCTCAGTTAGGAGAGGAACTAGGATAAATCTGATGTGTTCATTGTTCTTTTTACTCTACTTTTGATATATTGTTCTGCTGCACTTATGATCAGATTCTGAACCAACGTTTAGAATCCGAACTCTGTTCAGAAGAAGACATGTTTTTGGTGAACACAATTCAACCCCCTTTCTTGTGTATTTTCCTCACCTTCAGTATTACCTCTTATAGCTATTAACACCTCTGATGCAGAATCGGAGGAATGATCACAAGTATTTGTCGCTACTGCGAAAATCGGCGCCGACTATGACAGAAGAGTCGCCACCGTGCGTTATTTATCCCACAAGAGGGAAAGGAAACGCTCAGAGTAAACCTAACGCAAAGAGGGAAAGGAATGGTCATCGCAACCAAATCCTGGATTCGGGAGTCGGTTACGCAAGGGGAAGGTATTAGCACCCCTCAAGTCCGTCGTACTCGACGAGATCCACGCTTGTTTTCTGTCTAAGGGTGTGTTTATCTATCTACTCTAAAGGTCTAGTCTAAAAGAAAAAAGAAAATGACTCAGCAAAGTATCGCACTTTATGCCTACGTATTCCCGTCTGGAACGAGAAATCAGAGTCAACGTAGTTCGCCTAACTACGGGTTAAGGGGGGAAAGTTGCTCGCCAAGATTTCGCATCTCGTGCCTACATAATTTCATACGGCATGAAATATCAGAGCAAACGTAGTTCGGGCTACGGAAGACACAAGCTTGTCTGACAGTTTTTTATCTCCTTATGAAAGGGTTTTCCAGATTAAGGGTCCAACAGGACAAAAACAGAGTTTGAATGTTGGTTTGAATCTTTCACGAAAGAACTATTTTTTAGGATGTTTGCAATCTCAGTCGCACTAGAGACTATGACCCAGGAGTGAACACTTTGTATATCACCCAAAGGGTACCACACTAACATTCAGATTACTGGAGAGAGACCCTCCACCAACCTTTTCCCAGATAGCTTAAGGCTCATAACGCACAACTTCAATTAACCTTATTACTGTGTTTTTGAATTGTTTTGAGAGGAGAAGAGAAAGACACCCTAAAACTATGGTTGACAGGGAATCTACCTACAGTTATCATGCATGGGTCAAAACCTAATGTCTGTCATAATTCCCTCTTGCACAGAGGAAATCAGAGTTCCTAGGGGAAACAGCAAAAGAAAGCAAGCAGTAAACAGTAAACAGTAGAATGCATGCTATGCAACAGTACAAGTGAGGCAAGGGAGTCCGGCTCAACCTCAAACCTAAGAAAACAACAGGCAAGAGGAGACAAGCTCCACCTTAAACCTAGA